AAAGTTCACCAGAAGGTAACCACATCTACAAAAAGATGAATTTATTGAATTAATTCGCTTTAAAACTGATGTTTTGGCAGTTTGCTCAGCCCCAGTGCTGTTCCTCTCGTGCAGAGGATCTTTCTGCCTTATGGTAAGTTCATGACTTTGGCTTACACCACTCCTTGGTCTGGCTTTTTATGAGCATTACTGTGAAACTGGGGTTTTTTTCTTATGTCTTGATACCACTTCAGTTTCTGAGCACTGCCCGTGTTCGGTGGGTACCCGATGGCGGCAGTGGGTGACATTCAAGGCTGCTGGATCAGCTGGGAAGAAATACAGCAGCAGGCTGAGGTATGACATAGCAGGTTTTGCAAGAATTCAGGGGAGAGAGAGACAGGGACTAAGAAGCAAAACGGAAGCAAGCGCAAAAAGAGACATTACCTGTCACTAAGGCAAAGAAGGAGAGGTGAGGAGCTTACATGTGCTTCCTGCATATATCGATGCTTTTGCACAATCGTAGATGCTTTCTGATGCTGGAAATTGGGATTCCAGTGGAATGTAGTGCTGCACCCGTATATTCAAGAACACCGTTTGTTGCAAATGCCTTTCTGTGAGGAGACCTTTCCTATCCCATAGAGATAAGGTAAGGTTTCATAGGTGCATATATGTAGGTTTTCTATGTATGTGTAGATAAATAAAACTATCTACATACTTGCTTATATAAATACGTGTAACCGCATATCTGTTAGGTACTTGAATAAATACACTGCCACTGTTGCACATCCAGTATTAATCAGAACATAAATATGAATCAAAAGAAAAGACAGAGATGCAGCATGTGGCAAGTCCAGGGTTTACTAATTTAGCACTGGGAAATGGTGCATTCACCCTTTTTCTGTTTCTTGTCCTTCATTTCCACCGCCTCTGATTACTGAAGGCTGCAGCGTGCACGGTTGCTGCTTTCTCAGTCTGTCTGTGCCTGCAGTTTGGGATCCCAAAAAGTTCAGAGTAATTAATCATGAAAATCCCTCAAATCATATAATCTATGCGGTTCTCTGTGTTCCCAAATGCATCATATAAAAGAATACTACATCATAAATTGTTATAGTCATAAAAGTTATAGTCTCATTTTTCCCACTCCAAATACTTTGCTTTCATCTGAGATCTTTTTTTGCCTTGAGTTGCTTCCCTGAGAGCTTCGACACGGTTCTGGAAGGGATAAAGGCACAGTGCGGCCCTGCACGCTCGCTTAATTTGCACACAGCCAATGGGAAGGATGGTAAATAGGTAGAGTCGTGCTCTGTTTCCGTGTTATTGATCTTGGAAAATGTGTTTTTTCTCACATTTAAACAGCTGTATTTACTTCATGTGTATTCATAAAGTAACATCCGATGACTGCATGAGAAAAAGCAATGCTGCTGGGAGAGTATTTCCAGGTGCGAGTGTGCGTCGAACAATCAGTTTGCATTGTAAATCGTGCAGGGGGACCGGGGAAGGAGCCCGTGTGTTTAGTAGCCTGTGAGTAGCAGATGACTTAATTATTGCTTCTTCAGCTCATGGTATATTTTTGGATTCTATGAATTAGGAAAAAACGAAGCGTGAGTCACTGTTGTTGTTTCAGTAAAGGAACGTAACAGTTTATTACCTTTTGTGCACTTTGAAGAGAATGCACTGCTTGTCGGGCGTGTCTTTGGGGCTGAGACACCCTTAGAGGTGTACTGCGAGGGCAGGGTGGAGATCAGTGGGGACTGAGCCTTCCCTGGGGAAGGACACAGGGCACTGCAGAGCCCAGATCCCTGAGGTGTTACCCTCACACAGGACCACACAATGGTTTGGGTTGGAATGGACCCTAAAGATCACAGAGTCATTGAGTGATTTGGGTTGGAAGGAACCTCAGAGATCGTCTAGTTCCAACCCCCCTGCCATGGCAGGGACATACCCCACTAGCTCAGGATGCTCCAGGCTCCCTCCAGCCTGGCCTTGGACACTTCCAGGGATGGAGCATCCACAGCCTCCCTGGGCAATCTGTGCCAGTGCCTCAGCACCCTCAGGGGGAAGAACTTCTTCCTTAGATCTAGGCTAAACTTACACTCTTGCAGCGTTCCAAGCCCCTGCCATGGGCAGGGACCCCTCCCACCAGAGCAGGTTGCTCCAAGCCCCATCCAGCCTGGCCTTGGGCACTACCAGGGATGAGGCATCCCCAAATTCTCAGGGGAGCCTGTGCCAGGGTCTCACCACCCTCATAGTGAGGCATTTCTTCGTTGCATCTCATCTAAATCCACCCTCTCTAAATCCATTACCCCTTACCCTACCACTATGTGTCCTTGTAAAAGTCTCTCCTCATCTTTCTTGTAGTCCCCTTTAAGTCTGGGACGGGATGTGCTCCACCAAGATACTCATCCCAGAAGGTGGTCTCTGTGTAGGTACTCTTGGGCATAGCAGGGGTACAAGATCTGTGGTGGGAAGCAGTGGATTTGTTGCTGCAGTTGTTGAGGGAAAGCAGGGGAGCCTGCCTGGCCGTTGCACACAGCGGCTCACTGGGGCTGGAACGGGGAAGTGTCGGGATGCCGGGTCTCTCCTGGCTGTGCTTTTCTCCTGCTGGCCTTGCACCATCTCCAGCACCTCCTTGGCCACCTCTGCTGCGTCCGTTCACTGACTGTGCAGGAAAATGGCCCAGAGCTGGGCTGGGAGGCATCCTCAAGCGAAGAATCAGCCCACAAAGAGGTGCAGCGAGTTTAGAGTTAAGAGCGTGGCCATCGCGGCCAGGAGCGAGGTGAGGGGCAGGGTACAGATGAGCCACGTTTGTACAGATTGCGATTGCTTTCTGCTGCATGTGCTGTAAACGGCAACGGGAATTACTTTAAGAGGAAGAATAGTCATCATGCACCCACAGTATGGTTGTAGTATTACAATGTACATATCCCTTGTCTTGTTTCACTAATGACGTGCATTTCTAATTATTTTTTAACATAATCTTGTGCGGTAGTTCTTTTTGAATTTCTGAGATTGTATCTGTTTTAAATGCAATTAAAATGACTGCTGTGGAATACGAGACAAGCAGAATTTATTCCAGCTTTGTACATGCTTTGAAGTGTGATGTTAAGCTCTGGAAAACATCTCCGAACATGAACAGCGCTGAGCTTTGTACTACAGCCTTTCTGGTTTTCAGTCTTTGATACCTGACTTTCAGATGGCAGGGCTGACACGAGACGCTTTCCAAGGGCAATTATGTGTGCGAGGAAAACTTCTGCTGTGCCTTGGAAACAAACAATTCAAAATGTCTTTTTTTTTTTGCTGTTGACATAATGTCCTGTCTTGCTGGGCTCACCCTCCCTCAGACACCTCTGGGTAAAACGGAGGGTGTCCTCCTGTGTGGTGACTGGGAAAGGACTTTTATTTGTTAGTTTGAGTTTGGAATCTGAATCCTAATCAATGGTTTTCAGCAGTTGTTGTGTTGTTAAGTAATTGCTGAAGTTGTTGCAGGTGGGATGGCTGCCAGCAGATTTCAGTGGTCATCACTGAAATGGTGTCAAGCCTGGTGTGTTTCTGTGGGTGTGCACATAAATATATATATATCAGCACTGGATTTGCTGTTGTTCACTCTATGTGTGTGTATAAACATGCATACACACATACCCTGAACATTTTGCCGGTCCCACAGAAGTCAGTGCTGTTCGGTATTTTTCTGTATTCTCCCCTCACCTTGTACTTTGAAAGCTGTGGTCACGATGTTTTTTGATCTATTTTTCTTTAAATGTCAGCAAGACAAAGGAAAAGGCTAAAGAGAATTTTGTTACGGTAGATGACGTTTAAGAAAGAAACTGTGTGGAGAAGCTGACTTTTCTTCAGGGCCCTTATTCCTTCGTTGTCTTGCCCCTTGATAAGAGTATGGAGGGAGCTACTCCTGAGCAGGTACTGCTGGTTTTTCAATAACACAAAAGTGAGATGCTGAGCCTCTGTCACTGTCAGAGAATACGGGATACATGAACACTGATGAATAAGTGATTTAGAACCTTTTAGGGGAGCTTCAGATTTGTGGTATTACAAAGAAGCGGCTGTACGTGATTTCTTCACCCTTTAGCTGCAGTTTAACTCTCCAGTGTGTGTGTGCTGCTGCTGAAGAAAGTACGTGCACGCTCACCTGCCCCTTCTGGAAATGCTTTCCTGAACCAGTGAACAGTGGGAACAGCTGAGCCAGAAAATTATACGCTAACAAAACAGCCAAAAACATTTCAAATGATTTTAAGTCACAGTGAGACTTAAGAATCCATACTGCTTGTGTTCAGGTGACGTGTCTTGACCTGGGTTAGTGCAGGTGTGATCGCATTTTTGCCGTGTGTCTGAAATCTGGAATGAATATGCAGAAGTTTGGGTTGTCTTTCGTAATAACCAAATAGCTTTAATTTATTCCACGAGAGCAGCAATGTTTGCTATCTGTTGCTCACTTTGTCTTGATTTCTACTTTTTCCAAAAATAGGTGCTATCATTGACCTTTTGTCAATAGAGAGTTCTAGAAAGCAGTATTTTCTCTCTTTTTTTTGAGCAACCACCAAAGATGGGAAGTTCTCAGAGGACTGTGGACTTCTAACCGTAGAATTTGGGATTTGTCACAATAAAAGGCTTATTTGACCTAACGGTAACTGCTCAATACACTTTATATTAATTGCCCCACGCCCTGCCTGCAGCTGGGAGTTTTCTCTTTGCGATGTCAGGACGTGTTGATGCTGAGGCTGCTGATATCTCGGGGTATTGAGCAGGAGTCCGAGGGAGCTGTGAACACACCGGTGCACGTTCCCCTGCGTGCTCCGTGGTGTTTTCTCGGCAAGAAAACAGGTTTTGCAATTCCCTTTGCTTTTGGGCTCCTGGTTTGGGAGCTTGAAGAGGTAAGTAACCAGTTTGAAATGTATCCTGCTCAACAGTCTGGATGCTCCTTTCCCAGGCTGGCCTGTTGATAGAGCTCTTTAGGGGGTTTTGTAAAGCTTAACCTCCCTTTGCTTCTATTCTGTATTTTTTGGCAGGTGCAAGACAAAAGTCTACCCTGACGAGCTGCCCAACACGAGCGTGGTTATTGTGTTTCACAACGAAGCCTGGAGCACGCTGCTCCGGACGGTGTACAGCGTGATCAACCGCTCGCCGCACCGCCTGCTTTCCGAAATCATCCTGGTGGACGATGCCAGCGAGAGGGGTAGGTTTTGGGATGGGGAGTCCCATATTCCACACGTGGCTTTAGCTTGAGGATCCTGCAGGAAAGGGGTGTGGGAGCGTGGCTGCCTTTCGTCAGGACGGAACCGGACCTGCGTCGCTCACCGAGCATCTCCCAGCGCTGCTGGGATCAGCAGCAAACGGCCTCTGGGGCGTGTGGGCAGAGCTGAAGGACACGGAGAGAGGAGCCGAGGCGAGGGTTTGTTATCAGGTTGTCAGTCGTATGTGCGGTGCTCCTACACTGTGGTTAATCATTTCGTATCACTGCAAAAGACAATCCTTTTCCACATCTCTGTCTCGCTGTCTCTCAAACCCCCCTGTCCTTTGTTTTGGATTTTCCTGAATACCCACTCTGAGCCAATTGCCTTGTAATGCTCCTGTTTGTCATTCATTTCTTTCAGCCTTGGCAGTTTATAAATTTTATTTCACTTTACTGTAGTTTTTACTTTACTTTACTGTACTTTACTGTACTTTACTGTACTTTACTTTAACCCAGAATTTAGAAAGAAAACTATATGCATGTAAAACACGTTACCTGTAAAAGGAATCACACTGATTCTATAAACGGAATCGATGGAATGATATATTTTCCCGGAGTAGTCAGATGTTTATAACAGCAAATATAATGTCCAGCTGTAACTGCTCGAGGGACAGAGGATGCAGGCTAAGCCATCCTGTATTTCTGCCCCACGCAGCATTGACTGAACTCTAATTACTCTCCTGGATTTCCCTGCTTCAAAAACAAGTAGGCTTCATGTTTCTCTGTGCCAGAAGGTGGAGGAAGACTTCAGCCCAAGTCTTTTTCCCTGAAAGCAGAGTTTTGAATTCCTAGAGGGCTTAAATGTTGAAATTAGTCCAAAATAGCCATATTTGTGTTTAACCCATAGGCGAATTAGCCAAAGGATCGTTGTTTTGCACTAACTGCTGGTTGTTGGTTTGCTTCAGGGAAGCCAATGGTGACATATTTCACATTTCTGTGCTATTTTCATGAGGTACTCTGGCAGATGTGTGTGTACATGGGGGCTGTTTTCTGTGGGACTGAACCTGCGTAGCTCACCTCTCGGTCTTTGGGAAAACTCAAAATATGTCAAAACACATCTCTCGAGGTCCAGCAGCGTTTGTGCATGGCAGCCTGGATGAACTCGGTAGTTGTTGAACCTAGCTGAAAAATAATGTTTTTCTTCTGTGTTTATTTTGTTCCTTGTTGTTTGGTTTTTTTTGGTTGGTTGTTTTTTTTACCCCCTCCCCCAATTATCTTTGGCAGAGTTTTTGAAGGCCTCCTTAGAGAATTACGTGAAAAATCTGGAAGTTTCCATAAAAATCATTCGGATGGAGCAGAGGTCGGGACTGATCCGCGCGCGGCTGCGAGGGGCAGCGGCCTCCAAAGGGCAGGTGATCACGTTCCTGGACGCGCACTGCGAGTGCACCCTGGGCTGTGGAGCCGCTGCTGGCCAGGATAAAAGAGGACAGGTAAGGGTGGCCCCTTCTGCCTCCAGGACAGGGGCATCTGCCTGTCCTGCCTCTGGGCCGTGCCTTGGTTTCACTGTGCTGCTCAACAGTAGAAATAAGAACAATTCATTGATCTGAAAATGAAGATTTAATTAAAAAAATATTCAGGAAGATATTTATAGACTCACAGAATGGGTTGGGTTGGAAGGGACCTTAAAGCTCATCTTGTTCCAGCCCCCTGTCATGGGCATGGACACCTCCTGTCAGACCAGGCTGCTCCAAGCCCCATCCAACCCCACCTTGGGCACTGCCAGGGAAGTGGCTACCGCAGCTTCTCGGGGCAACCCGTGCCAGTGTCTGACCGCCCTCACAGTGAAGAATTTCTTCCTAAATCTAATCTAAGTCTATTCTCTTTCAGTTTCAAACCATTAGCCCTCATCCTATCCCTACACTCCCTGATCAAGAGTCCCTCCCCAGCTTTCCTGTAGCCCTGGCAGGTCACTATAAGGTCTCCCCAGAGCCCTCTCTTCTCCAGGCTGAACAAGCCCAACTCTCTCAACCTGTCCTCCAACCCCCTGGTTGTCTCTGTGGCCTCCTCAAGCAGGTCTGTGCCCTTCTCATACAGAACTGCAGGTGAGCTCCCACACAGGAGCAGAGGACAGAGGGAGAATGACCTGCCTTGACCTGCTGGCCACGCTACTTTTCATGCAGCCCGGGATGTGGTTGTACTTCTGGGCTAGGAGCATGTATGGTGGAGTCATGCTGAGCTTCTCGTCAACCAACACCAAGTGTTGTGTCCATGTTGGAGATTGCCCCAAACCATGTGCAGGACCTTGCACTTGGCCATGCTGGACTTGGAGAGGTTCGCATGGGCCAAACTCTCAAGCTTCTGCTGTGCTTATACTGACGGTGCTAAATCATTACGTGAATGTCACGCAAGGAACGGGGGTGCCCCAGGCAGGGCTGGGTGTGGGCACCTCTCAGGGTGCACCAAGCAGTTGACATGTCCAAAAAGCTGTGGACAGCAGAAAAGGGGAGAAGACCTGGGAGAGCAGACCTGCACACAGCAGTGGTAAATGAGGTTTTGTGCAGAGAAGCCTCAAAATAAGTGCGATATTCAATGTCCTGACATCAAAACTATTTTGTTTTTAAAAAGCCTTTTTTCTTTCTCTGCAGGAGAACTGTTGTCTGCCCCATCATTGATGTGATCAGCGATGACACGTTTGAGTACATGGCTGGATCCGATATGACTTACGGAGGGTTTAACTGGAAACTTAACTTTCGCTGGTACCCGGTTCCCCAGAGAGAGATGGACAGGAGGAAAGGAGACAGGACCTTGCCTGTGAGGTAAGGAGAGTGAATCAGGAGGACCCTGCTGTTTGATTCTCCTGTGGACCTGTTTATGTAGATGATAATGCTTGACACCTAAGATTTTGCTGCAGTATCAGAGCACACATGTCAGATAGTTGTGGCACACTGCTCAAGCTAGAGGACACCCAAAATCTGACCCATCCTAATGCTGCAATGAAGTTATCAGAGCTGAGAAAACTCATTTGTATCCTCTTTTCAACATTGGATAATTCCAAATATTCCCTGCTTTTTAAGTTCCCTCGTTCGTTTTCTGCCAACAGCTGCTTGACCTTGTGCTTACAGATGTTACTGGTTTTTCGAACTTTAAGGCAAATGTTAGAACATACTTCTGAAATGCACATTTTTGAGCATTAAACCCAAGTATTCGATTATGATGATTTCCACTTCAAGTGGATGCTTTAATTGCCTAGAAAATAAAATTGATGACTGTGCACACTGAGTCAGAAATTATCTGAGAATATTTCCTGAATTCCCGTGCTCATTCTGACCTTCATTTCACTGCTCAAACCATGAGCTGTAACAAAAACCTCTAGAAAAATTTTGAAATAAACTGAAACAGAACAAATCGGATAAATTACTTACAATGGGTTCTTTGCTCAGCTCTAATAGCTTCTGTGCTCTTCATGAAAAGTTAAAAAAAGGCAAAAAGAAAAAGCAAAAAGAAAAAAAGCTTTCACAAGTGGATGTAATGGTTTCAAACCTGAGACATGATGAAGTGGACAGAATTGCAGTCCTGCGCAACAGGCAGAATTCCCGATTGTGAGCAACAGGCAGGTGAAGGGGGAGCCAGCTCAGGGGAGAGCAGTCACAGCCCAGCTTTGCGAAACGCTTCCAGGTAAGGCAGTGGATGGAGAAAGAAAAAAGCCTTTCAGAGTGCCTTACACCAGGAAACGGCCGAAATCTGTCGTTGTTCGTCCTTTGGAGGCAGGGAAGGGCTTGATGTCGCAGGAGAAGCAGCCCCTGTGGTCAGTGGAGGGGAGGGTGAAGCTGGTTTTGAGTTGAGAGAACTGTTTTTGTTGTGATCAGAGATACTACCACTCAGCCACGAAGTCTGCCAGCAGCTTTTTCATTCTAGCCGAGGTGTGGGTTAAAATTGGTGGCGTTAATTATCGTAACGAGCTGCTGCTGCCTCGGTCGCTGCGCTCCACATGTCCCATGTCTCCAGTGCGCATCAGCTCAGGCACGGGGACTTGCCGAAGAAATGCAAATCCCGGTTCTTGTTTCCTTATCTTGAAATGGAGGAGTACTTAAACTTAATCCAGAATCAGACGTGTAATTGACTCTTAGAGTTATTAAAACAAACAAGTAGATTTTTTTTTTCTTTCTTTTTTTTTTTTTCTCTTTTTATTCCCCCCAGCTTTTAGCTGGTGATTGCCTGGGCTTGTTGGGATTCTCCTGGCAGGATGGGTGTTAGAGAAGGAGTCCGAGGTCGATGCCAAGTGCCACATGTTCGGTAGTTCCCAGTCACACCAGTGCTTTCGAGCGAGGAGGTGGCTGCCTTAGGCCCCCAAACCGGCTTTTAGTCAGATACGTGTGCTCTCTGACCCCATCGTGGAGGCGTTTTGGTCTCTGCGGTGTCCTAAGAAGGTGATCCCTGTTTCATTTTCCCTCTTGGCCCAGCAATGCAGCGAACTGTGGAGCTGCCTGGGTCCTTTCCTATAGGAAAGTATATTTAATAAGCCATCAGCTGCTTCCTGTGCATATTTCCAAAGCTTACCCAACACAGCCCAAGGGCCTGCAGCAGTACCTCAGTCCTGAGGTGTCAGAAATACGATCCTAAATTCTGCATCCAAAGAGAAAAAGTATAATATTTCAGCTAGATTAAGAATGGGTTTGGCAGCTGCTGCCACCTGAACATTCTAAAAATAGGAGGATAAAAATAAACAAAAGCCTAACCCATACCAAAAACTTAGAAACAAATTGTTGAGGGTTTTATTTTTATTTGTTTTATTTGTTCCATATTGCTTTCCCCATTCTGTGGCATTATTTCAGTCTCGCGCAGATTAATATGTCTTTATTCATATTTTTTCTTTGTAACTGATGGAATAGGAATAGACTGGACAAACATCCTTGGCTTACATGTTTCTCTGCATGTAGGCGTAACATAACCACGGCGCTCCAGTTATGCTTTTTGTTACCTTAAAAATCGATATAATTGACAAAAGCTGTACTTAAAATATTTATCCTCCATAGTAACGTTCATGAATTCCTAGCTTTGCTTTTCGGATTTAGCATCATAATGCATACGTTTTCAAGCTACGAATTATTTAATATGCAATTTATTATTTATGTATCACTTGTGTTACTGTGTAAGGATTTTTATGGCAAAGGTGGGGGTAGGTTACTTATGTGAGCTCAGTGGTCAGTGCAGGGGGAGGAACCGATAAATTCCCGAGTTAGATATTTGAGTCAACTGAAATATCTGCCTTCGCTGGAATCTCTAGATTTAGTGAGAAAAGATTAATTAATTCAGCGACTCAGATATTAAAACCCCGCAGCTAATCATCACACAAGACAGCTGTAAAGGAGTTTTCTTGACGACACCCATTAGAAAAGTTACCTTGTTTGTCATATTTTTAGCAAACAAGCAGGGGAAGGCTGAGGGGGTGCCTCTCTGCTGAGAGATGCCTTGGAGAGATCGGGGTTCAGGTCCAAGATGGGGTCCATATCCTATTCTTGCTCTTCAAACGCTGGTCCCCACCACTCCTGCCCCTTATTTTCTTCTGGTTCTTAATCCCCCAGCCTGACGTCCCTCCTCTTCTCGTGCTCTTCTTCCTGTACCTCGTTTTTTTCTCAGGGCAGCTAACACCGTGACAGCGTAACCTTTCCCAGAATAGTGTAAAATGGCAAATCTTCCCCAAAGAATCGCAGGTTTTGCAGAGACAGGAGAAGCCTTTCCAGTTGGCGAGCACTCCCGGTTTGCAGGCGGGCAGCTCTGATGATGGGGATTTGTCCTGGGCAAAAGCAGCTCCAAGCCCCTCGGTGCTCCCTGTCCTGGGGGAAGAGAGAATAGGAATTGGTGGTCACCACATTCTGGGATTTCTTGGAGTATTTTTAACATACTTACATTTTTTCTTTATACAGAAAACGATCAGAAGCAAAAGCAACATCACGGAGCTTTTAGTTCTCTGCTGGGACTGAAACTATAAAGTTGAGAACAGGAAGGGGATATTTAGAAAAAATGCCTGAAGAAAAGATTGTTCCTGGAGACAGGGCTGTTCAAGACAAGTAGTTAATTCTGTGAGGTTCTCTAGAATCAGCTGAAAGGTGTTTTTCCAGGTGTATTTGCAGAAATCAGATACAGCCTGTGGCTTTGAGTGTACACGTCACTGAGCTGTGGAGCTCACAGGGGCTTCCAGGTGTGGCTTTAGGGGTATGTTTCTTGCTCGCAAGGTCCAGCAGCCCCCCAGGACCCATGGCAATGGGTGTATATATATTTTCTTTAAACAGCAAAAGCTCTTCATTTGCTGTTCTGATGCTCCTCAGGGTTTTCCCTTGTTTCCACGTGGAGTAAATGCTGTAATTCCCACTGTCGCTGGTGTAACCGCCGGCTTTGTAAACTTTGTGAGCGATCAGACTTTGTCAGAACGTGTTATATTGAGAGCAGACCCCACTTCTGTTCCCAGAGAGCTCTCTGGAGCAAAACCTGGATGGCTGCCCCATGCTGGGGTGGAGCTGAAGCTAAATCTTCCTGCGACTGATCCAGCCGGTGTGAGTAGATCTGGGCATTGGGAATCCAGAGGTTTCTGGGCAGCGCCGCTCTCAGGAGTGGCAAATGCTCGCGGGCGGTGCCGGCTGAAGTCCTGCTTAACCTTTCATTCCTCTTTCCCACTGAAAAATCCTGCACAATATTTGTACTTTGAAGGACATCCTTTGTCTTCAAGTGAACTCGTTTCCCCCTCTACGATTTTGCCTGCGGCAATAGAAAACTTGTCCACACGAAGATCACTTTACAGACATCTGTCTTCTTGCATTTATGATGTTAAAAACATAAAGTGCTCCTGTGCCGGGCAGTTACAGCCTCTCCCCTGCACATTTCTATGGATATTTCCAGACTTGGAATTGCAGGAAGGAGAAGTAGGCACTATCTCCAAAATAAAATTAAAAGCAGGTTTGAATGAGGATTAGAGGTATTCACAACCCGTTACTGTAATTTTTAGTAAGACTCCAAGTAGGTGAATCTAGCTAATGGACCTAAAGCTGGGGAAAAAGCTGTAGGAACCCTTACTCTTTCTAATATTCTTTTTTTTTTTTTTGGCTGTTTTTGCAGTGAGAGCTCTATTTGTGTAACATTAAAATTACACAACAGAGAATAGTCCTGCCTGCTGCGTTTCAGTTATTTGAGAAGCCGGGTTGTATGTTGGTGCGTAGTTACTTACATTTTACAGCATGAAACTCGGCACTTCCACCTTCAGTGTTAGCGAGTTATTAGGTTTCCCTGCTCGTTTTTTATTAACAGTTGCTGATGACGATTCAGAAAAACCCAGCTCTGTGTGTGTATGATGAAGCTGCATCATCCAAAAACTGCTTAAGAAATTCTGTACCATTCAAGCAAAGAGTGTCTCCCTCCAGGGAGAGGAATGAAAGGAGGAAGGAGGCGGCGAGGAGGCAGAGGAGGAGGGTTTCTGTCACAAGCGGAAGGTTGTCAGCATTAAGCAGTTTTGCACAGACTTACAGAATTTCTAGGTAACCAATAGTAGGAATTGCTTTTAAATCGGATGTTTTGCATTTTTGATCATCCAGCTCAATTAAGAAAGATTTGTTTTGTGCTCCTCACACTAAAGCCTCTTAGACACCTGGGCAGGTTTAGCCCTGTCCGAATCACCGGCAGTGAATTAACTGAGCTTTCTGTGCCGGGAGTATGGGGGAAGAAAATAGAAGTGTTGGTAACTCAGGGTCCAGCATTATTTTGTTGCTAAACTGTGCTTTTTTTTTTATTTTTGTTTTTTATTTCTGTGAAGACGGTCAGCTCTGGCAGAATATTTGCACAGCAAGCAAATTACCTGGATTTGTTGTGCTTGAGAGTAAATGAGAAGCTACTGCCAGGGCTGCGTGCAGCACAGCACCGTCCCTGTGGCTCGGAGCCTCTGCACGCCGCGGGGCTGTGGGTGCAAAGCCCACTCCGACCCATCGCGGGTGCAGATATGGGGGTGGTTTAGCTCGGAGACCGAGCTTTAGATGGGCAGGGGAGGTTTAGGTTGGATATTAGGAAGGATTTCTTTACTGAAAGGGCTCTCGGGCACTGGGACGGGTGCCCAGGGCAGGGGTGGTGTCCCCATCCCTGGGGGGATTTAAGAGTGGGGCAGACCCAGCATTCAGGGATGGGGTTCAGTTGAGGACTCGTCAGTGTTGGGTTAATGGATGGACTCGATGACCTTAAAGGTCTTTCCCAATCTGGGTGATTCTGTGATCCTGTGAAATAAGATAATGGACCGAAGGAGTTCTTTTGTGTGCCCGACTGCTCTGCCGACAGGCTGTCGGTACTGGTGCCTCTGTGTGCGCTGGCACTCACGGGCACTGAGCTGGCGTCAGGGTCTGCATTTCCAAAACATGGTCTCGACCACTCCACAGCCCTTTTGGAAGCTGAGGACAGAAACAGGAGTGATGCTTGTCCTTCAAAGCTTGGTCTGCAGCTGTGTTAAGGTGCCCAGAGGTCCCCCCAGCACAAAACCCGGGAGTAGGGGGATGCTGAGACCTCAGCAGCCCCAGCGCGCCAAAGCCATCGGTCATGGGGGATGGGTGCTGCTGGTGGAAAGGGAGGGCACACACTGCAGTGCCTGCAGGGACCCGTTTGGGCTAAAAGCCTCTGCTTTGGGGTAAAAAGCTGAGCGGTCACACACCGCACACCTCACGGGAGAGCTGTGGTGCAGGGGGTGAGCGTTTCTCGTTTCACGTGGGTTTCGGACGCTGAAACACCACAGAGCAGATATTTACGGGGAAATAGGACATCTTTACACAAAGAGAAGTTGCACTCTGACTGGATTTGCCTGTTGTAAGGATTTATAATCCTGTTAAAGAGAGATTATGCCTGGTAATTTTATGCACATTTAGTCTCCCTCTAAGGCAAAGCTGAGGCATTAAGCTCTCTTCGCTAAGCATTTCAGATTGGATTTGAACTGCTGCTGTTCTGGATGCAGGCGGCCAAAAAATTCCATCCACTTTACCATTACAATGCTCCTGAAATAAATCTATGGAAATGTGTTTTTTGCGGGCAGGACGCAATCCTTCGGTGCTCCCTCGGGCAGCGCTCTCGCCTGCTCAGGGGGAGCTCTGCCCGAAGGGTGCACAGCCGGAACCGCATCGGTACTGTTAGTAGTTTATGTATAAGTTGCTGTACATAGAATATATTTATAGCTGAAATGTCTGAGGTAGTGAAATGTACTGTAGTGTCACTTAATAAATTCCGCAGTATCTTTCAAAAGGTATTTTTTCTTTTCTTTTTCCTCTTTTCTTTTTTTATTATTTTCTTTTTCTGTTTGTTTTCAACTAGGACCCCTACTATGGCTGGTGGCCTATTTTCTATTGACAGAAACTACTTTGAAGAGATAGGAACTTACGATGCAGGAATGGATATCTGGGGTGGCGAGAATCTTGAAATGTCTTTTAGGGTAATTCCCGTTTTCCTTCATTTTCTGTCAACAAACACAGTTGTGCTCTAATGGTTCCTGTGCTGCAGACAGGGCCCTTCTGCTTTAGCTGTCGTGCAAGTCGCGGGTTAACTGAAATTCTCAAGATATTTGGGAATGCCTCGTTGTAGTGCTCTGGTCCTTTTTACAGCATGAAACATTTTATTACTGTTTGGAAATTCTCATGCTTTTCAAAATGCTGTGTATTGTAGTAATACCTGGCTTTATAAAAGAAATGAGGCTTCCCGTGAGCTAGTGCAAATGTTGACTGACGTAAGCAAAATAGAAATTTGAATACTGTAAAAAAAAAATAAAGTCAAATATATGTTTTAAAAGAAATTTTTGAAAGTGTATGTCATCATGAGCTTGCAAGTTCGGGCTGGGATTTTTATTCTGCGTGAGAGCTGAGCTCGCAGTGAAATTTCACAGCCTGCAGTAAAATGCCTCCGTTTCTGCCGGGGATAGGTATGTTGCTCGTGATAAGAATAAAATCAGTTGGAGTGAAATGCTGTTAGTAATTGTTCCTTTAGACATAAAAGGGAATTGGAAAATTGAGTCTTTGATAAGCAATTGTTGGAAAGGACTTTGAACATCTCGGATGTATCACAGTTTATGCATTTTAGTCAGTATGCAAAGCAAAGCCCATCTAGTACTCCGAGCACATCATAGGGGATATCCTCCTTTCTTTTGGTGGGGGTTTTTTTGGTGGTTTTTTTCCTTTCTTCTTTTGTCTCTTGTTTTCAGCCGGGGCTGTCGGACTGTTTTCTATTGAGAGAAACTGCCTTGAAGATTTTTGTGAAGCCGGTATTTCTAGAGAAGATCAACTGACAATTTGAAAACATTTTCACACCTTTTTCTAGTAACTATAACCCTTCAATTCCCACTAAAATAGAAAGGTAGAGTAACTACCTCTGAGTTAAATCAGTGGATTTTGACATTTTTTGGTGAATAGGCCCCTAAGAATATTTCTTGTATGTATGTAGACCCCTGTATAGGAGCTTGGTTCTGACTTAAGCCTGCTAGTGGGCTTCTTTTTGACGTCTTCAGAAGTGATCCTAGGAGCAGAGAGTGACTAACACTGCTTTAAAGTGTTAAAAATGTGCTTCTCCAAGGCTAAATCTGCATATCACTGCTGTTCCTTTTTCCCTGAGTGTCAGAGCATGTGATTTATGTGAAGATCCCCTAGTTCATTGAAATGTTAAGATCAGAATTTGTTATCGCTCGCAGAAAACCTTCTGCAGGACCCGTTTTGGGTCATTGCTGTGGAAAGGTCTCATTCTCGTTAGCGAAGAGTCTAAAACATTTGACTCTGCTCTTGGAAGAACCATAGGTTTTCGTCACAGAAACAAAACTAATCCCTGAAATTACAAAGGGACGAGCAAGGCAATTCTTGCTAGGAGTCTGTATTGGAGAATATATGGAAGATGATTCTCCGTGGGCTCCTTTTCACAGCACCTGTTTTGTTAACAAAGGTACAAATATTGATCGTTTCTCTGTCAGGCCTTCTGAGTGCACAACAGAATAGAATAATTTACAGTTCCACAGCCTTATTCCTACTTCCTGGCATCATAGATTCCTTTCGGCAGAAAGCATTTGATCTTCTGCTGAGAGCAGCGCGGGAGCGCGGATTCACCTTCCAGCATCTGCTGAAGAAATGCCCTAACTCGGATATTCTTCATGCATCCCTTTGCTCGAATAATCTAATGTATTTTGAAAGCCTTTCCTGAGAAGTTTAGCAATTTAGCGGTGATGTTCCCTTCGTCTCGTGCTGCTTGGGCTCCGGGCAGCTGCGTGTCGGGGCCCGTGACGTGAGTCCGCTCTCCGATGGGTTGATCTGGGGTTTGTGGTCATGTTTAGTGCAGTTTGGGTTTGGGGTTTGGCTTTTTTTCCTTCCCTAAATAAGCGTTGTTTGAGTCCCGCTTCAAATGGGACTTGAATTCTGTTCAATGCTTAGGTGAGTAAGCCAGTGGTGGGCTTAACCTATAAAAATTTTGTGAGAACGCTGTCATGAGGTCATCTCAGCTTTAAATTAAAAAAATCTCAGTCCAAACTGTGAAGACCAGCAGTAGCCGTACTCTCCATGGTGAGAGCAGGGAAGCAGCCGTTACTCGTATTTCATTTGTTCAGGCTCAGGTTGGGGGGTCGAGGAGAGGAAGCACATGAATTTTGGGACATCGTATTAAAGATCGTTATGTCTTCGGATGACTTTCCCACTTAAACTTCAGGAAACATTAGCAGCCTGGAATGTGTGCATCAGCCCAATAGGAGGGCACGGTGTCAAGAACAGAGATAAGATGATGTGTGTGCCAGGGGAATGCCCGGCAGCCACCCGATGCTCTTTCCTGAGCCTTCATCTGTAAAGGAAACCAACCAAATAGTCAAGTACATCAGGTATGGCTGGATCAATAAAATAGCATTTAAAAACCTATCTGATGTCAACTGTCTGCAGAAAATTGCTAGCGGAGGGTGCCAAGGGGCTGCGGAGGTTCCTCCTGCAGCCGCCTTACTGCCCTGCGATTCCCCGGCGGGTGTCCGGAGTACCTTGTTGCAGTCAGGAAAACACCCAGACTGAACCTGCGCTTGGAAAACTGCTCTGATAGGAGGCAGCCCTAAGGACGTGTCTAGAGCCCTTATTTCACTCCCCTGGAGTCCGGGTCTCCTGTCGGGGCAGCCACCCGGGTCCCCCAAAACTCGAGACGTGCCCCGCTCTGTCCCAGTGCCTGAGCTCGGGCTAAATTGGTGTTTTGGCTTCTACTGCTCACTGCAGAACAAACTTCCTGATGCCTTTTGGAGGATGTCTTTTAATAATGGCAATTGGGAAGAAAACAAAAGAAATTCTGACAGGGATCCCTTACAGCTGGAAGAGGCTTCTGTAGTAAACGAAATCCTCGTTTATTCTTCAAGATTTGCCGTATTTTTATTTATAGAATTCCTTAAAGGCTTTTAATTTTCTGTTTAATTCTGTAAATGCTTTTTTCCCAGCTGCAGAATGCCCTGAAAACTTAACAGTCAGAAAGAGCTCATCTAGCTTTGGAAAGGGTATTAAAAATAATCTGTCCACCAGAAAAAAAAAAAAAAAAGAAAAAGATTATTCTTTAGAATAATCCAAGTAGGCCAAAACCAGGCTAGAGAAAGAAAGATGCTGTTTACTTTTGGTTTTCTGACAGCTGTTAGAAGCGGGTATGCAGATGTTCCCATGTGCTTTTCCTAGGTAATGTGATATATTAATGTGCTTTTTCTCGGCCTCCGAAATTTCTGGTTTGACTGCCGTGGGAATTCTTACAGCCGGTGAGGAAGGAGCAAGGACGTTTAATTCACTTGTTACCTAGCAGAGTAGCCAGTCTCTTGAATTCCTCGTAGCACACGTAAACGACTCCACTGTGTGCAGCGAAAGCGACAATCTGGGGGCGAGGAGATGGGCTATTAATAGCAGTTTTTCAGCCTGACTCAAGGTGAGATCTGAGCTTCCAGCTGCAAAATTACAGGTGTGAGAGAGCCTTGAAACGCGTTTAAATCAAACGGTTGGAGCAGAGCTGTCGGTTTGGGTGGACTGGAAGGATCGTTGCTCTATAATCACGGGCGCAACAGTGCGTAGCTGGAGAGGTCGTGTGTGACATTGGAATTAATTATGTGTGTTGGTGAGTGGAATTTGGGGTATGTAAATCCCTAATGACCCAGCAAACAGCCTGAAAATATCTCTCTCTCTCTCTCCCTTTCAATATTCCTTAGCTGTTTGGCTAGATCAGCTGATTTTAGGAGCACAGTTTGCTCACAGATTGTGCTCAGAATCTGTTAGTGTGCTCACGTTTCAAGCATACAACATTTTTCCCTTTTCGGCTGCATTAATTTTTCTGCATATCGACATTCTTATATTTCTATGGGGAAAAGATTCAAGATACACTCGTTTGGTTGATTTTGTTATGGAGATCACAGAATTACTGTGGCTGGAAAAGACAATCACATCCAGCTTGTGACCCAACACCACCACATTGGCTAGACCTTTGGTACTAGAGTTTTCAGGATTACTTTTTTCCTAATTATTGCTTATGCATCACTGTGTTGCAGCAAACAAATTTAACTTGCTTAACCGGGGCACAGGGCACTGCCTGCATCTTAACGTTCCGACTGTGGTAATCTTGGGGGTTTTTTTTAACCTAGATTTGGTCCGTGCCTATACACGAGAGTTGTTTAATCTTAACACCATCATCAGTAAAAATGCACACGTACCAAGGAAAGGCTTCGTGTTAAGAAATATTTTCTAAAATGAAGTACACAGAATTATGAACACATAAAGCATTTGCTTTGGGGATTTCTATCTCTGTAACTTCAGATTTTAGTTTTATTTTACTCTAAAGAGTGTTAGGGAATCACAGAATGGTTGGAGCTGGAAGCGACCACTAGAAATCCTCTAGTCGAACCCCTCTGCTGGAGCAGGATCCCCAGAGCACATCACCCAGGATCGCACCCGGGCCGGGTGTGAAAGTCTTCAGAGGAGACTCCATGACCAGCCTGGGCAGCCTGTGCTGGTGTCACCCTCGCAGTGAAGAGGTTTTTCCTCATATTTAGATGGAACTTCCTGTGTTCCAGCTTGTGCTCATTGCCCCTCATCCTATTAACTCTTTTGGAGTTAGTTTTACCTATTTTGTCACAAAAGGAATCGCTGAGGAGATTTTACTCCTGCCAACAAGGTAACAGCCAGTAATGTGGCAGCATTGTCTGTAAAATTCCCCTTCACAGGGGTTAGATGCAAAAGCAGCTCTGCCAACATCTGGGCCACATGTGCCCCCATGCCCAGCTTGCCAGGAGCCCCATCCCCTTGGGTGCAAGTGCCCACGGGACCCATGGGCAAAATTGGGAAGGAGATGGTGGGATTTGCTTTGACCAGGCTGGAGAGTTTCGCCTGTCAAGGGTGAGTTGCCGTGGGTCACGTTGCCCTTTTGGATACAGGTAGATGCTGAGTGTTCCCACCACCCGGTGCCTGCACGAGTCTTTTTTTTCTTTCCTGATCATTTTAGGACTGATAGTAAAGCCTTTAAGTTGTTTTATTTTTGTTTGTGTGCAGGTTATCATTAGCCTTAACTATTTGTGATTGTCGTGCACTGAGTTTTGCAGGAACTGATTTTGACTTGGGGGTCGTGAGACCCTGACATAGGTTTCCCCGAGAAGCTGTGCCACCCCCTCCCTAGAAGTGTCCAAGGCTGGGTGGGATGGGGACTGGAGCAGCCTGCTCTGGTGCGAGGGGTCCCTGCCCAGGGCAGGGGGCTGGGACCAGATGGTCTTTAAGGTCCCTTCCAACCCAAACCATCCTGCCGTTCTATGTCTTAGTGTTCAAAAATGATGGAAGAGAAGAAATCGTGACAGTGGGCTGCACAGAGATCACGTGGAGTTTAAGGAGTTTTATGCAGTAGTAGGAAGGGGTTTAAAATGTCCTTGAAATCGAACGTAGTTCTAAATTATTAAAGAGAAATGGGCCAGTGCAAACTAGAGAAGCTTCAGCAAGTCACAGTGCAAGGTCCTGCACCCGGGTGGGGCCAATCCAAGGCACAAACACAAGCTGGGCACAGAGTGGG